ATTCTCTCACCTCCTCACTCCCCCCATGGCCGGGCAGAACAGACGGGCCATGGGAAAAAGGAAGAACGGAAAATGAAAAGAAAACGCCGATGAACGCATGACTAACAACCACAACAGCCAGAAGGTCCCCGAGAAGTTCTCCAACTAAAGCATCTCCTTGCTGGGCATGATGATGATGATGATGAAGAAGAAGAAGAAGTGCGGGATAGATGCGCTGTCGTAATGGATACCACTCTTGAGACCTCACCTCTCGTTTGCCGAGACTTTGCCCGTTGCCCTCTGAAGTTCCGGCGACCTCGTGCCAATTCGTGACCCAAAAAGCCGTGACCCAAGAAGAACTAACCGCGAGGGTGCGTCCTGTCTGTAAGCGTACTGATCGAGCCGTTACAACTTGATAAAAAGGTACCCACAAGGCCGCATTCGGCTGCAGGTATGACACTGGGTTGCTCGGGGCGGGCGGCGTGAATGCTTACCAGCGACTTGGGCCCCTTCGAGGTACCGTCACGGTCAATGCATCTTGAACTGTGCAAATTCTGGGATTCATGGCTGTGCTCGCCTTTGCGTCCAGAGTGTCATCTGCCGTCGGTCCCGAGTGTCTGGATTCATCAGCGGCATGAGCTTCTACTGTCACATGGAAAAGTGTTGGCTGCAGATGAGCATGGGTTCGTCTAATCTCTATCTGCAGAAAGGGAAACATCATGAAGACAAACAACCGGCCCTGCCAGACCGCAAACACCTCAGATGCCAAACGCCCGCCAAATCCATATATCGCACAATACGTGTCAACCCGATCTGTCATCGTGCCGTGGCGCACAAACGCAAACCGTTCACGACGAAATCCACGGCCACGAGGAAGCAGCGCAGGTTGCCTCTATTACCGAACGCCATGTCGCAGTGCCTCTCCGTCCAGATGCCTGGGTCATGTAGTGCTCCCTTGCTAGGATCATGCACACGCCTGAAGAATAACAACGCACCTCGAATGCTGTGCGGCCTCTCTGACTCGTAATGAAATGTCGTCTGTCGCTCCCATCGCATGTTGATGAACAGGCATCGCGAGCCTGCAATAGCACTCGATCCTCGTCCGCTCTCGCCCCCATTGCAAGAATGACCTGCTCCGATACCACTACCTCGGCGAGATCGACACGCGTCATGTCATCTGCAAATGTAAGGTTCTCTGTTGCCGATCATACAACCCGGTTGCGACGAGCCTATCGCAATGCCCGGAGGAAGTGCAGCCACCTGATGACCGTGTGTCATCAACAATTCCAGAGTGAACCTGAGGAAAGGCTAGAAAGAGAGCTAGGATCGCGACAAGGGAACGGGCAGTGGGCGTAGGTACCCGTGGAAATCTGGCTCTCCGGAAATGGTGTCGAAGCCCAGCCCCAAGTGATTCCGCGTTCTCCATGGGAACGTCAGCGCCAGCGCCAGCGTTAACTTTCGCATCCTCGCTCCCGAGATTGCCGGCAGGCGCATCCTCCTAACCGCGGGTGTTGGCTGCGGCGGCAGAGGCTCCCTTCGGGTTGAGATCAACGATGAAATCCCAGCCACCTGTTGAAGTCAGTCAGTAGAGGCTTATGGGGCTAGAGAGGGAAGAGACATACCACTAGCAAGGTTCTCCGCTGTCGTCTCGAGCAGGATGATTCGGCGCTTGTTACAGTATGACGTCTTGTCGAGAATATCAACCTTGAGCTTGCGATCGGCGAGATCCGTGACTGGCTTTTCAAACATTTCCGAGAGAGCCTCCACCGCCATTTCAAGATCCTTTTGGTTGTCCTCAAAGATGGCCGTCAGGTTGTTGCGCGCGAGATAGAAAGCAAAGGCGTAGGTCCACTTCAGTGTTTGGCGGCACGTCTGGAGCGTCTGGGACGCCGAGTTGAGATATTGGACCTCGATCCACGACA